CCCTTTCTGTATCTCTTGCCTTCCGCTTGTAACAAACATGTTTTAATGCCATTAATCACAAGCCAAATTATTTCTATCAAGTTGCCGGCAAATTTATTTTCCTATCCATTTTTAATCTGTGCTGTTCTCAAACACAAATTTTGTTGATTTACCTTTTATTCGTGTCTTTCACTCTTTTCATGTGTCATAGAGCTACTTTTCCTTCTTGCTAAACCTCCAAGCTGTATGTTTCTTTATAATAAAATTGCTCCCAGTGAACTTTGTAGTGTGGCACTGAGATTGGCTCATGTCAAACACCTCTATTTATACATGTGTTCTGTCTTTTAACATCAATTCAAATGAAATACAAGCATCACCTCTTGTTTCGGTACTTGTAGTGTCAGTAGCAATCATCTCAACAACGTCGACTATGGTTGAAAACATAACAATCAAATTTGTTAAACAACTGTAATGAGACCCCCAACGTGTATAACCAGGATGTTGAAGGGTAGTTTCTTGATTGAGACCTCGTCCACTTGATAATTCGCCGACACTGAGTGATTCAAGAACTTTCAACCTTTCGTTCTTTCGAATAAGATTACTCCATTTTGCCGATCCACCGACAACATTCACCAATTTGTGTACTGCAATGAAGAAAGTTTCAATCTTAGGATATTTCTGTGCTACAGCTACAAGAGCTGACTAAAATTGATGAGCAAAGTAATGAATATAATATGCGCTTAGGTTTTCTTTCAAAATAAGTGTTTTGAGGCTATTGTACTCACCTCGCATGGTACTAGCTCCATCATATCCTTGACCTCTCAAATTAGATATACTTAAACTAAGCTCCGAGAAAATTGATCAACTGCAGCCTTAAGTGAGATAGCAGGGGTACTCGAAACATGACGAACACCAACAAAATGTTCCAACACATGCCCATTCTTCACATAACGAATAACAACCGACATTTGCTCCTTCACTGAAATGTCTCTAGATTCATCAACTAAAATTAAAAAGGAACTACCAGGAATATCTTTCATAATCACATTT